TTCATTTATCAAACATTTATCAACATGTTAAAGTTTAGATAAGGATAATATCTTAAGTAATCGAATATATGTGAACTTTACCAATTTCATCCAAAAAAACATGTGTAAGCTTATAATCAGTGAAAATTCAAGCAAGAAATTTGAAGGCGTCAAATGGTACAGACAACAAGGAAGAAAAAGAGAAGAGTAACGAACAAACGAAAACAGAAGGCGATGGAAAGGAAAAAGAAGGAAAGCTACCGGAAAGACCACCAGTGGATCTGTTCAGAGCGATTTTCGCTGATAGTGACGATGATGATATCGAAGATGTAGGAGAGGATGCGAGTGATAAGGAGAGGGACACTGATAAAAATAAGAACGAATCTGGAGGATTGAAACAGTATGGGCCGTCTCTAGACAGTGAACGACTGAATGGAGAAGTGAATGAGAGAAGTGTTGGAAGCTTGAATGAGAGTAGCAAGGTGGAGGATAATTTGAAACAAAAATTTGTGACCGTTATGGACATCGTTGACTCAGATGATGAGGAGTTCGGTCCTGCCCCACCTCCAGCCTCTTCAGTTGCAAAGCCTCAACCAGGTAGGTTGTTATTGTGCAGTAGAGTTACGAATTGTTTGTTTTAAAAGATTGCTCGTGAATTATGAAAAGTATTTAGGGATTATGTCTTTTTTGAACATTTTAAGTGCGATGAAGTTTTTCATTGTTTGTATTGGTTTCGAGTTAGCGTTTGTTTTTGTTTTGCCCTTTTTTTGAAGAAATATCGATGAATCCGATATTCTGATAGAGTATAATGAAGAATTTGTAGGAATTTTTCACATGTATATGGGAATATTTTTGAAAACTCCATTGATTGTGAGTTCGATTTTGATGAATGTTTTTGAATTGGCTTTAAAATTTGAGACGTAATTCATATTNTAATTCATATTTTCAGCACTTCCGGCTGTCTCGGTGATTCAACAGAATCGTGAGCATGAAAGAAAAAAGAAGAAACACCACAGAAAAGAGGAAAAGAAACGTAAAAAAGATCGGAAAAGAAAGGTATTCATATTCTATCCGATATGTTTCTATGCCATCGTATTACATCAAAAAGCACCGTTTGTCGAGAATATGCATGGTTTATGGATAATCCATAATTGATCTCAGCTTTAGTTCAAATAAAAATGCTTGATTTGAGTCAGCTGATCAAAAAAATTGTTGTGATTAGTGAATAATGTATTTGCAGATGAGGATATTCGGATGGTCAAAATATTAGTGAAATTTTGGTTTGATTTGCACTATTGGGATCGGATTTTTGTTAAAATGATAATAATTATTTCAGAAAAGTGCTGAGCACCATTCCCATAAAAAACATTCGAAACATCGTAAACACAAACGAAGCACTACGGATACGGATGATGGATCGAGCAGTGTCGTATCAACCGATTGAATTGCGTTGTTTTTGTACATATGGAAAAAATTTGATAATAAATTATTTTATGTATACATTTTCATTGAAAGATTTGTAAACATTCATTCATTTCCCTATTTGATGAGTCACTGAGATGTGTTGTTTGTGTCAACATCAGAAAAAGTCATAAATAAGTGAGTTCATTTACTATTTGATTATTAATCAACATATCAAGGACATTCAATATTGTTAATCATAGTAATCACAACGCCCTTCTCTTGGAATCTCTTTGCACTGATTGTGAGTGCATTCAAGTTTTCTTCAATTGGATGTTTGATGTCCGATATTTTTTTTACTCACTATCAGTGCATTGTTCGATTTTTTCTTGAATTGCAATCGTATCNTGTGACAGTTTGACGTGTTGTTAAGCAACACTTACTCTTGATCAATTCAATTCTGAAAGTTGACACGAGCAGCTAACGTTCTTCAGAGACAATATTCGATTTTATGAAGTGAACACTTGAGAGGATCGTTGAGATTTATAGAATTCAGTGATTGTTCATTGAGCAGGACATGAATCTTTTCTCACAAGTTCTCATGATCCACCAATAAAATTACACGTATGAAAACAAACTGATTTAATAGTCGTTTTGCAATTGCCGAGTGGATTTCGAATGAACGTAACTTCCCGGTCAGCATCCATTGAACTAATTTGCAAGCTCTCAAATTTTCATATGGCAGTGTTTTTTTCATCCAATTCAATACTTCCTTCACAAAATGATTTCACTGTTAGCAAAATATTATCGCAAATTAACGTTTTGCGATCAAATGCCATATACTATGAGAAATATTCAAGTTCAACGATCTAAGAAGCATTGACCAAAAACTTTAATAAGGCTTGAGTTATGATCTATCTCTAGTGCGCTGTATCTACTCCGATAACCCATTTGTAGCGGCATCTTTTCGTGAAAGTGCTGAAGCAACTTGAATCAAACAATTGTGTACACTGAAGAAAATACACTTGAAAATTTAATATATCGTACACACACTTTGGGAGCGACAATACAAGCATCGAAAATAAACGAATAA